ATATATCCAATTTTAAAAAACGAAACGCCAAGATCATCTAAGGCAGTCATCATTATGGAAAACATAAAATTGAGGACACAGACACCTACCACACAGCAGTATCGTACAATTGAAAGGTAAATTTTAAACTCACAAAGTTACTTTCCTTACAATGTAAGAAGTTTTTATACAGTAAGGAGTTTTCAAATACAAAAATACTAATAGAAAAATGGACACAAACATAGAATTCACAAGTGAATGAGGCCCTAGTTAAATTAAATACACACTGACCTCTGTTATCAAGTATGAAGTAGGGAGGGGTACAGACTAGATCATTAACAGAGTCTATCTTTGGGTTGGGAATTGTGGATATTTTTACTGTATTTGTATATATTTGGATTCCAAACTTTTCTGTACAATGAACATGTATCATTTTGGTAAATAGTTATTACGTGAAAAAACTAAGTTCAAAATGCTGTGGGAAATGTGAAATATGGAAACGGCCTCTTCCCACTCGAGGAACATTTCTCAGTGCTTCAGGCATCTCTTGTTTACGGCTTCCATGTAATTTACCATTGACATTGTTTAGGAAATACAGTAAGATGAGAAGAATGGATTCTTACAAAGACTATATACATCATGAAAAACATGGGAAAAAATCATCCACTACTTATTTTTTTCATACAAAAAAGGTTTTCCTTGAATGTTCTGATTTATACTTATGCAAAAGTTGTCTTATGAGAGTTAAATAATTCTTTCATCAGCATATATAAGTTAGTGCATAGTCAAATTGTTCAGTAGTTTATTTCTTCTATTCTAAAAACTTGCGGACTAAAATGTTTCCTTATAATTTCTATTTATCTTTCCTAAGATAAAATATAATTCCACTCCATTTTTTTAATTATCATTTTTAAATCTACAAGTTCTCTGTTGTGCAAAAATATTTAATGGGTTTTATTTAGCTATATTTTCATTGCTTCCTCTGATAGAAATTCAGTGTGAGAAAGGATTTTTGAGATAATCTGATATCCTTTTCCTGGACTGAGAGTAGGGCCATGATCCACAGAGGTTCAATTACATACAGCTGAGAAACACGAAAGCCAAGCTAAAAATAACCCATGTGAGGGTAGTTTACTGCTTCTTCAGACTCATTTTCATTTCAGTTTTATATTCATAAACTAGGAGAATGCTTTGGCACTAAAACGTAGTTTGACTTAAGTGGTAAAGTTAGTGCTTCAATATTGTCTCTTGTCAGGATGTGCCAGTAGCCCTATGGATGTGATACTACACATAGCCCTGTGTGGCTGGGGTATGTCTGTACAATCTTGACTGCTATTTTCCCAGATTGGGCACAACACGTATGAACATAAGTATTTTATGCATAGACCCACATTTAGGTAGCACGAGTATTAAATGTCATTTTTTGAATTTTCAAAAGTATAACAGACATTTACCACTTAGATTTACAAGTAACAAAGAAATTTAGAATTTTGGACTTTGCTTCTGAATGGCAGACAGAATCCAACTGAACTACAATGGTGCAGAATGGATACATCTTTAAGAAAAAATGAGGCTCTATTTCAATGACACTTATAGGTCACCAGGATAATGTTCAGTGCCCTCCATCTGCCAAACTGTAAGTTCCTTGAGGGCAAGAACACTTTATTTTTCTTAGTTGTCCCAGGCCTACCAAGCTCTTGGCATAGAGACAGCATGCAGCAAATTGTGTCAAATGGTGACAGTAAGAACAGATGAGAAAGGTCTCAGGAGACTAGAAGGATTGGCTGCAACAAATGCTCTGAGACAGTAGCCTTATGCTGATCCTGAAATGTCCAAGATATATACATATATAATTTGTGGTTATTTACATAATAAATTTATTACTTTGTAAAGCTATTGGTTTGGTTATTATTGGTTACTTACTTTAATATAAAATAAAAATAATAAGTAATTTGGAATTTCCCAAAGTCTCCTGGGCTTTATATCTGAGAAAGAGGTTTCTACACAAGGACTTGGGTTTGTAAATATGAAAGAGAATACTGTTGGAATTAAATATAGCTATGTGTAATAAAAAAATTTATTTTATACTCTTCATATTTCTAAGGGAAAGGGGGAGCAGAAAAATAAATTAAAGGTAAAAACTTCCCAAATGACTCCCCAGCACCACTTCTAGCAATAGGTCAAACACTGAGGCTACAAGAGCTTCAGGATTTCTTATGAGAAACTGTAGTAAGAAAAATATTTTACAATGACTCATCTCATAACAATGCCCTTTCTTCCCAAAGTACACATCACAGTTCCCACATCTCTGGCACATGGGCACTCGGTGCAGAGCTATTGCAACATGAAGCATCTCCCTGTACCAATGTTCCTCAATGTCCCTCAAGGTGACAGACCTCCCTGGAGCTGCAGCGGGTCAGGGGGCAGCAGGGCTGTGCTCATCCTGCATCTCTTCCCCCCAGAGCGGGATTACTGCCTTTGTGCTACTTGATCTGGAACAGCGGGTCTATTGTGCAGCCACCTTTTTAAGAATGAGGGGTGAAGTGCAGCTGGCTTCCCTGTGTATAGGCTGAAAGAATCCCTGTGCAGAGCCGTCCTGAATAGGCACTCCTAGATTTCCTCACCAACTGTTGCTTAAGACACTGAGGATCCCAAAAAGGAAGAAAGAAAAAGATGAAGGAGAAGGAATCTGCTACTCAAGGCTACAGCACAAGTACCGTGCCCAGGTTGCTGCTTAGGTACTGGCTCACTCCGTTGTCACTTCTGTGGCCAGCAAGAGAAAGTTCAGTAAACAGTTACTGGAAAGTAACTGGAGTTTAAATTGCAGAAAAAGGATCTCCAAAACAGCTACTCAGGAAGCCAATCCCCCAGGCCTTGTCCAGTCAGACGTTCCTTGCTAGCTGGGTAACACACACTGGCTTTGGGCTTTTGAAATGTATAAAGGAGTAAGAATGCCACCTCTGGGTCAGAAGGCAGTTCTGGGAAGGAAGGACTGTTTATTGATCCTTACATAGCTGAGACAGAAGGGCTCTGCAGAGGTTAAATATCAATGAAGATAAAGCTCCAAGACAATTGTGGTAAAAGGACTGCTGTGTTGTTGGCTTGATGGGTCATTTGTAAGAGAGAGGGTCCTCTGCTTGACCTGGATATTTTATGGTTGATAGGGACAAGCTTGAGGAAGCAGCAGACTGGAGGCCTGTGAGGAGAAAAAACATACAGGTGAGTAGGCCAAGCGGAAGAGCCTGTGTCAAGGGATGGAGCTGTCTAGCAGTGCTAGGCTTTAGTTGACTCCTTTGCGTGTGTGGATGGGAACGTGTGTGAAGGGAGGACCAGAGATGGGGAAAAAGGGCAGCTGAAGGGACAGAGCCTGACCGCATCTAAAGAGAATCCCACAAAACAGTGAAAAGATCCTTATGATGTAATGGTATTTTTCTTATAAGCAAACTTGGTCATCTCTGATACTGTTATCACTAGAAGTTAGAACATTCTGAAGATAAGAAAACTGAACTGGCTCATGTAAAAGGCTCATACCAGTCAACTTCTAAGAATGAAAATTCTTAACATTTAGGAAGTCAAGATTATAGGATTTAAATGACAGCAGCTATAGAAAATTTACATCTGTATAAACACCGGTGCCCCTAAGGAGGATAATATTTTATTTGCATTGAGATGTTTTAATACACCCTTAATATTTTAAGATATAAATATTAATACTACATATCATACAAGATCTCATTTTTTCTCTATTCCATCTGAAAGCAATACTACTTTCTAGTACAGTTAACTGTTTTCTTAAACCTCAGATCAATTTCTTCATTGCTTTGACTCACTTAAGCTATTATTACATTATATTTGTGTGCCAATAGCATTATTACTTCAGTATTTATTAATTTACTAAGATAACATTCTAGAAATAGTTCACAGAGTAAACTTGTAATACTTTTCACCAAATTTGCTTTATTAATTTAATTTTTGTGTATACTTAGAATTTTATTGATATGTAAAGAAATAAGGGTCATGCTGGCTTTTCTGATTTGCTCCAGATGAAGGCCTCTAAATTTAAATACAAGTTCTCTGCTCTTGACTTTTTCTGGGTCTCTGTTCACCCTTATTGCCTCTGAAAGACTCTCCCTATGTATTTATTTAAGATGAGATAAGAAGCTGGTTTTAGACCATGTGGGCCAAATTTCAAATGGATTAAAAATAAACATAAGCGGTAAGTTAATATTCCCATAAATTATTTTAGAAGCATAATCATGTCACACTTCATGTCCAAGTTTAATGTCTGCTACATTTTCCCCTCATTGTTAAAGTTTTAATACAGATGTCTAAAACTACGGAAAAAGTTTTGTACAGAGGTAACTTCAAATAGACTGGATTGTGACTGAGGCAAGATAACACACATACAACAAGATTCTCTTCAATGTCTATGTTAAGCTTAAAAGACAAAGCTTCAAGCTGCAACACTACAGGACTTTTCTGTATCTATTTGTCTGAATAGAGAACTCCAATGAAAGAGTAACAGGATGCGATGGAGAGTAAGACTTAGCATGAGAAAAGAGAGGAAGAAAACGAACCCTATCAGCTACGAAATAACACACTGGGGAAAAGTACTGGTTCTCATGAAAATGTCAGTGATTCACCATGGAATAAAATCCAAAAGCCACTGACCCCAATGAAAGCTTCCAGTGGAAACATGTGGATTTTGCTTCATTTCATTTAAAGACTTCGCTTTGTTTCATTTAAATACTATCATAAACACAATCACAGTTTTTGTAAAATGTTGCTTTCTCATTTAAAATTGATATGGAAAAATATTGCTAATCAAAATTTATTTTCAAGTGGTCTTACAAAAACCCTATATCAATTAATCAATATTATCATGCAAAATAGGTAGGCTATTTTTGGTCCCTTAAGACATATACTAAGTGCTCAATAGTTAAATGCCAACAGAAAAAAATTCTTTAAAAACTTTTTTTTAAACAATAAATCAATAGTTAACCAGATTTTTTCATACATACCAATTCTTCATTCTGCTTTGAGAGATCATGACTGCATGAAAGCTTACTGACACAGACCACAAATCTGTCAGGGAATACACGAAGTTCTGTACAAAACAAAGAAAATCAATTACTAGGCATCAAAAACCTATGAACACGCTTGGTGCCAGATTTTTAAGTTACAGCAATAAGTATGGATGTATGAAACACATGTGTCCCCTCCCCACCTTTCACTCTTTGCCACCTATAGGGTAGGGCAAGTACAAAACTCTAGGAAATGCAGAGGAGGCTGCAAATCGGTCTGCCTGAGCCCCTGGACCATTACATTACATGAACCCCCCAGGCAGGGCCTTTGCAACCCTCCCCCCATATCAGTTCACTGTTGCTCTGTTCAGAACTCACATTTGGGAAGCAGGATCAACATTTCTAATGTGAGTGCAGACTTAAATAGGAAGAGGAAGAATATTAGATAAAATCTGAAAACATGACTTGTGAATGTTCTTATTAGTTTGCCTACTGTGTCTTTGGTCAACTGGTCTTAGAGAGGCACCTAAAATGGAGGGCAAACTCTCAATCTGAATAAGGCTATATAAAAAGGAGTTTCATTAATTAGGAATTAATGATCAAACCATTAAGGATGTGGTTAAATACACAATAGTAAAGATGATACAACTATACCACAGTCACAGTAATCTAATTATTATGACTTCTTAAAGCAAAAGACTTCCAGGTGGGGAAGGCTGAATGTCACCTGTGTCTCTACTTTTCTCATCTGTCTGTCCCTCCATCCATCTGCGGGTCTATACATCATCCACAGGTTTGTCCGTCCGTCCGTCCATCCATCCATCCATCCATCCACCCACCCGCCCCCCCCACCCACCCACCCGGTTTCCACCTATCCCTGGAGTGATGTTTGGCTGATGCTAACCAAGTATTTTCTGGGAGGTTGGAGAGTGTCTTCTCCTCCCTTCTCTATACTTGGTTGTATTGCTCGAATATTTTTGCAATACACATGTATCACATTTAAAACAGACATAAAGCCATTTTTCTAAAAGAGAAAACTCCCCTTTCAGATGTGACCATGTTTTTAAAGACATAAATCAGATAAGTGAAGCCTTTTACATACATTGCACATTTCCAACAATGAATGGCAATGTGAAGGCACTAAGGTAATGGCATATCTCAATCTGATGCACTTGGAAGCCAAGCATGAAGGTGTCAATTATGCAAACATAGAATTTAAACAGTTAACACCTTACCCCGACTTGGCTAGGTTAAATTACAGCAAAAGCCTAATGAGTTGATGTTCCAGTAACAGCTCTCTCTTTACTTCTCACCTGGACCACTGCTGTCTCCTTGGTGGCGGCTACTCTTCCCTATTCCAACTTATTCTGCTAAGCACAAACAGGTTAACAGTTCTAAAAAACAGCTTCTCTTATCATGCTCAAGCCCCTCTGGTGGCTCCTTAGTGCCTACCACGTACTATACAAATATTCAAAGCCCTCCATGATTGGGACCTAACCTGTAGCTCTGGTCTTACCCCCACTAGTCTTCCTCATAGAAACCCCACGTTTCAGGGATCCTGGATATACTTAAACTCTGACCCTTCATGAATGTCCTATTTGGCCAGGTGACCAGGAATGGACTTTGAAAAGCCAGAAAACCAAAATTATCAAAGCAGTTAGTATTTATTCATTAATTCTTAAACTATCTTACTGAGATAAATGGTAAGTAGTCAGCTTCCACTTTATGGAAGGGGCAACTGAGTCACAGAATTCATTAGTTGCCACTCACCCTCCTCCCCAAATATCGTAACACTTAAGTACAGCTGTTGGTGCATCAGAATTAAAATTCAATATGGTCAGTTTTATCAATTATTAGTAGATTAGAACCAGAATTCTAAATTAATCCAGTCTATCAAATAATTTCTCTGTTTTGTTCCTCCACTTCTTTCTGTGAAAAATAAGAGTGATAGAATGTAGGTTCTTAATATTTTGGTGCAGGGTATTATGTAAACAGGAAGCAACTTCTGTATCCCTTTAATTAGGTCATATTTGAGATTTGCATTACTTTTATCTTTAAATAAAGTAAAGATTTAGGCAACAGCAATCTCTACATGAAGAGTAGCTTAGGCTACATTTTAACGGATACAGGTTAACTGGCTTATTTTACTAAGTGACGTGAGTAAACTGGAAGGCCCTGTTAAGAGAGTAATATATTCAAATGAATTTAAAGTTAAGAAAGTACAAATAATGGCAAAGATTCCAAGACAAAACCTCTATATAGTTGATTTTTAAAGTGCCTGTTTCATAGTTTATATACTAAAATCATCCAAGGAACTTGAACTAGATTTTCTTTCCAGTGCTCACATCAACTTGGAGAATGATCATTAGCATCTGACTTTATTGTTGGCTGGACATGTCTGACATCATTTCCTCAGTGGACATCTAGACTTGGGGAAGTAAGGGGAAGCTGGCCTCATCACACAGCTAGGAAAGGCTCTGACGGCTCCAGGCTGGGAAAGCATTTTCTTGTGCACACGCTTGCTCCATAACCCAGGGCTTCAGTGTGCACAGGCAATAATGAAGTGATTCATAGTTTAACTCCTGTGAGTCACTCTGGAAGCTCAATGAAAGTGCTGAGATGCAGCAGGAAAACACAGCATAATGTGATGACCCAGCTCACCGTTCTCAGGCAGGCAATAAACAGTGAAAATTGAAAAAGAAATAATCACAAATGTATGGAAACACTCTTATTTTATATTTCAATTTCATGAAGGAAATGAAGCAGGTAGGAATCCTTATTCCTTAATTTTCTTCCCTCTCTAGGGCAATTTAATTGTGCAAAATGTCTGACAATGCAAGAAATCAGTTTCTTACCAGGATTCTGTGAACCCCCAAAGCAGCGAAGGCGTATACCTCTCTTGAGGAAATAGGCTGTGATTTGAAAGCCATAACCTGTAAAGTAAGAGGACATCATTAGGTTATAAGCTTGTTTGCACTGAATCCCACAGGCCAAGCCCAGTGCCTGCCATCCAGTATGCATTTAGTAATTATTTGAAATTAATTATTATAGTAATTTCATTGGCTCATGAAAGAGACAAGGATCAACAGAGGGCTTCACTTGAGAGGAAGGGGAGAACATTACAATCTTGGCTCTTCTAGGAGGCTTGGCCGTAACACCCTGGTCTCTGGTCCCTGAAGTGGCTCAGTTGCTTCATTGGTAAAATAGAATAAATGAGGAGGCCTAACAAAGAGGCCTAAAAATCAGGCACTTCATATATGGTCACTACTTCAGGCTAAGCTGGTATACAGATCTTGGCCACCTTTTGATACTCATTACTTATGAGCTTAAAAAAAGAATCATTTAATACCTATAAATAAGTCATTCTAATCCAAGTACAATAAAGCCTTTATAAGAATGAGATGGAAAAACATATAAGCCAAAAAAAGAAAAAGAAAATCCTTCAATTCATGAGAATACATAATCTAAGAGACCAAGCTCACCAAGTATTGGCAAGAATGTGGGCAGAGACCTCATACCTTGCTGACAGAAGTACAAATTGATAGAGCCACTTTTAAAATCTGCTTGACTATCTTAAGTGGAACTTAGGTATGAATATGCAGGTGTTCATAGTAACGCTTTTCACAATAGTCCCAATCTGGAACCAATACAAATATCTACCAATATTTAAAAAAAAAAAAAGGGTAGGGCAGGGGGAGTCAGTCATACACTGAAATACTACACTGCCCCTAAAAATGAAAAAGCTACAGCTATAGGTCATATCAAAAACAAAACAAATTCAAATCTCACAAACACAACGTTAAGTGAAAGAAGCCTAGCCCAAAGGAGTCTATTCCATCTATGAAAATGGACATATTACCATTCATCTTACAGGGCAGTCACAGAATTTCAGGTGATTCACAGAAAATACAAGCTGAGTTCCTTCCTTTTTTCCTCCCTCTGCTTCCAGCCATTCTCCAGGTAAAACTACTCTGTTTGATGACTTTCCTGAAAAGACTAAATAAAGTGTTCCTATTAACATGGTTGAGTACTTGGTGGGAGAACCAGAGTGAAAGGCCTGCCAAACAGGGGTGAGGGTCTCCAAGTTCTAAAAAAACCTCAGAGACAAATAGTATTTTATCTATGAAATTGGAGAAGCCAGGAGTTGCAAGAGGTGGTCTCCACGACCATCAGATTCTTCAAAGTCAATGACTATCACTTTTTTGAAATAACTTGTATATAAAAAACACAAAGAAGTTTTCACTTTTACGTTCGCTATTCTTCTAATACTCCTGTAGAAAGATCCAGAGCACTAGTGACCACAGACTTGATGTCCTGTCTAAATAAGTACAGCTCTGACAGCACAATTGCTTTAGTTACAAGGGTTGCGAAATAATAGTGACATCTACGATAGGATAATCTCCAGATTAACTGAGATGAATTTTTCCTAACACACTTGAACTAGATTACATTTTGGTTACGTGTTTCCTTTGCTTAACACATCGAAATATGCACACCTGTGGCCTTATTCTGAGTGCTTCAAACAAATACTTCATTCCTCAGGTCAGTGAGAGTGAAGAAGTGACTTCCACATCAGTTTATTTGTCCCACTGCTGAGGGGAGAAAAATTGTAGGAGAGAAGTCCTTTACAATTTGGGATTCACAAACACATATAGAAAATTTTAAAATGATTAAAAAATAATGATTTATCATGTGAGTCTTCCAAAGAACTGAACAACAACAACAACAAAAGCAATATCTAAGTCATTCTGCCTGTTCTGGCAGATCATAACTGACCCATCTCTCAGTAATTAAGATTTAGATGACATGTTTAAAATGTACAAAATCTCCAGTAATAAATATTGTTATTAGGAAGAGGCTAAATCTAAAGCTGACTATGAAAGCTACAGCTTTGAGTTCAGGAAGTCTGCTATCTGAAGATAAAACTTGAGTGATAACTAAATCCTACTTGGTCAACTAAACAATAAAGTCTCAATATGAACACCTTTCCCTATAGAAAAATAAAGCAGTATAAGGCAAATTCTAACTAAATGATTTATTACTGGAATTACTAAGAGAACTGAATTTATTAAAACCTGTCTCCCTATACTCCCCACACTCAGGATAGGATTATGTTAAAAGGAATCATTCCTAAACTGGCCTCTTAATTTCAATGGAAAACCCTGCCTTAGTGGCACCTACAAAAAAATGGCAAGTTTAACATGTAAAAAAAAAAAACTGCACCTGCTTATTACAAATACCATTGGCCATAGGAAAGTTTATTGTTTAAAGAGAAACTTAAAAAGAGATTAAACACAATAGGTACTTGTACCAGTTCCTATGGCAAACTGATTTTGATATAAAAACAAAGAAAAACTACTGCTGATGAAATATGCTGAAATGAAATCCTTAGGGAGATGTATACTTGATTTATCCATAGATAACAGGCAGTGATAAAGACTATATTCTTATCTATGTTCTTTAATGAAAGTGATATCACAAAGTTCAACAGGCCGCTGAGATTTTGTACTGAACCCGGGCTACAGCAAAACTCCACTATTTTCAGCTAAATAGAAACTTGGCAAAGAACCCAGGAGTCCCTTTGCTTTCCCTTCTAGGGGCACCAGCTCCCAGCTTGCTTCATTGGTGTCCTAAATGCACGGATTCCATGTTAGTAGGAGATTGGGGGGCTAGTGGTGGTTGTAGGGTGGGGAACAAAATGAAAAATCATGAAATGGTAAGCTTTTCATTTGAAAACTACTTGACAATGGCATTCCAAGATTTTCAGACACTTGTAAATAATGTTTAAGTGTGCTTGTTTTCTTGCTAGCTCCTGTGGTCTTCCTAAATCTGGAAAGACTTTAGATAGAAGACACTGGGCAGTTAGAGGAAGGGCAGCTTTGTGGTGGAAGCATCGTTTCGTCAGGAGTTGTCAGGTATGTGTATTTCTAAAAATAATTTATATTCCTATACTACTACTGTTACAAGATGTCCAGTACAAGTAAGAGTCCATCTTTTCCCCCGGCCTCTAAGGAGCTTCAAAAGTCTCCAATCCCTATGCCTCCTGCATTCTGTAATTTGAAAAGAGCTGCTTCTCTCTACCTTTCTACAATCTCCCAACCCACAATGAAGCCCAAATGACCTGTTACCACATTAACTTTCTTCTGGCTTACCTGGTTATTCACCAAAGAACATTAATCTCCAAAAAAGAAAGTGGGGAGGAGTAGTCAGTAATATTTATGAGAGGAAGAAAGGGCAGTTCATGTATAAGGACAAATCAGAGTTCTGCCTATTTTTATTTCCTATTCTAAAATAAACTGCTCCATACTCTGGTTTCTCTTCAGATCATATAAATCTTTTGCCTTTTACTAAAATAAACTGCTCCAAAATGGGTTTATTAGAATCTCAGAGACTTTATGAATAGAAAGGGAAAAAACAACAATAGCAACAAAACCAAATATGAGTTGAACAAATTCCATCCTGGCTTAACAAGGCAGTAGATTAGTTTTTAAGTCATACTGTGTTCCAATAAGTAATACTTTTTAAGGGAGTGGTCATTTATTGGGATTATTGTATTTCATAGTCCCAAGAAACGGAGAGCAAATATCCAACCTGGAGATTTTACTGTAAAACTATCCAGCCTCACTTGTTTTCCAGGGGACACATGGCCAAGGTGAGTTGAGCTTCCCCTGAGGCTGCCTAGGGGAGTTGGTGGTATGGTGGAAAGCCCTCACCTATGTGTTATGAGACCATTCACAGTGAGCCTGGGAAAATGTTTCTCGGTGCCCCGGCAGGGAAGCACCACTTCACAGTGGGCTCCATCCACACCACATGGCACTTCTCCCAAAACATAAGGCAGGTTCAAGAAGGCTCCTCTCCCTGAGGTGACTTCTTCATTAGTATCATCATTCACAATCATGAGAAATCTCAAATATCAGAAAAGTAGAAATATGGTGCCAAGAACACTCCAAAATTCACCATCTAAACCCAATAAATAATGGATAACATCTTGTCATATTTCATTTACATACATAATAACCATTTCAAGAAAATTAGACTTCATAACACTTTACTCTTAAATATGGAAATGTGCATTCCCAAACAATAAGGACATTCTCCTACATCATCAAAATTCTGTGATCACAACTAACATGACATTATTGCTCAATCAAATAACCAGTCCATACTCAAATTTCTCAAACTATCCCCAAAATGTATATTGCCATTTTTTCTCCTAAACTGGGATCAAACCAAAGACTGTGCAGTGCATTTGGTTATGTCTCTTATACCTTCTATGATGTAGAACAATTTCTCTCTCCCTGTTCTTTTATTCTTTTCCTATAACTCTGATATTTTTAAGATGATGAATGATCCCCCCTCCCAATTCGGGGTTTAAATTGGTATTTAAAAAAAAAAAAATCTCAGTTGCCTACATACAAATTTTCAACCTGCATACTCTTTCTGAATGCCAGCCATTTATTACTTTTGATGACTTCCTTAACTGCTGCAAGAAAACGCAGGTTCAGACTGAAGCTATAATTACAATTCAAAGTCTAGAACATAGATGATTTAAAGATTTAGCTCTAAAAATAATTTCAAAGAATCAAATTTTAAATTTACAGAGAGTTATATTTTTAGCAAAGGTAAGATTACCTAAGCAGTTGGATAGTGGTCTCATACTTGTTTTACGAAAGGGTACTTGGTGGCAATTGGATGGCTATGTGCTGACCTAGAGGCAGCCCGGTAGTGCATGCCAACCACTTTGGACTGTGACTATTTCCAGTCCGAGGTCATGAGTCAGTTCTCATTCTCCACCTGAAGATCTGGGTGAATTCTAATTAAGAGGGTAGGATAGAAGGAGCTGATATGTACTAAGTACTGAAAATGTCTTACATGTTACACTAACTACACCAGGAACATATAAAGTATTTAAAAGATGGGGTGTTTTAAAGCT